CCCCAAAACCCCAAAACCCCAAAACCCCAAAACCCCAAAACCCCAAAACATTTAAAAATTATTGATGATTTCTACTGGAACCGGCTAATTTATTATAAAGTTACATCCCCATCAACTTCTGAAGTGCTAAGTCTGTATCTCCCTTTGTCTCCTTCAAGGTCTTAATGTTGGTAGCTTCATCAGTGAATCCCATGGAGCTCATTGTCTCGAGTTGGGTTTTGAATAGGGTCTTCAATTCCTCATCAGTTTTTCCTTCATAGTCCTCCTCGGTTGAAGCATCAGCCCCGCTAGGAGGGGAAACATTGAAGCCAGCCATCATTTCATTGAGGGTCTTTTGGTCAATACCTCCCATCATGTTTCCCATCATTCCTCCGAAACCTGGATGAGCGGATGAAGCGTCTGGAGCTTCTGGTCCTCCAGCTGTCATGGCTGGAGTATCTCCCATTGGAGGCATTCCTGGTGCTCCTGGCATTTTGGATGGATCCATGTTTTTAAGGTTATCCTTAACTCCTGCAAGTGCTTCATCTAACTTTGAATCAGTCATATGCTCCTTAATTTTCTCAGGATTATTAATCAAATCTTGAATTTCTGGGTTTCCTTCAGCCATCTGCCCTAAGATAGGGTTGGCACTTAAAATATTTTGGATTTTAGTTGGATCTGAAAGAAAATCGGATATCATTCCCTTTACCATGGGATTGTCAAGAATGTTAGACATCATTTCTGGATTGAACATGCCTCCTGCTGCTGAAGGATCGAATCCTGGTGGCATTTGAGACATACCTTCAGCTCCTTCTTCTGAAGCATCTGGAGCACCCATTCCCATGTCTGGCATACCCATACCAGGAATACCCATGCCTGGCATGCCTGGCATACCACCCATGCCTGGCATACCTGGCATACCTGGCATACCTGGCATACCACCCATACCAGGCATTCCTGGCATGCCCATGAATTGAGGTAATCCACCAAACATTGGCGGCATGTCTCCTGCTGGATTCTGTTCTTCTTCCTCAGTAGTTGCTTCCTTGATGACCAAATTGATAGTGTCTCCATCAGCCACCCCAACTTTGCCTAAAATCTTATCTGTCTTAAGGATCCTGCCCTTTCTTACAAGGTTGATCTTCTCTTTGTCTAAATCTGGCTTGGCAGTCATAATTTGGTCAATGACTTCTCCGACTGATGCTACAGTGGTGGTCTCGATGGGAAGGGTTTCACCCTTTCCAGAGAGTTTCACAGTAATATTTAGAGGTGACGACTCCATTTTCAATAATTATTATTACCACCGGGGTTTTGGGGTTTTGGGGTTTTGGGGTTTTGGGGTTTTGGGGTTTTGGGG